GAAGCGCTCCTCCAGCAGCCCGCGGTGGCCGCACAGCTCCAGCGCGTGCAGGTCCAGCGCGCCCTCGAAGTAGGGCGCCTCCTCCTCGTCCTCCTCCTCGTCGTCCTCCTCGTCCTCGTCCTCCGCGGCCGGCCCCCCGGGCGCGGGCGCGGCGCGGAAGCCCTTGTCGTCGCCCACCGCCTTGGTGATGAGCGTGGCCAGCCCCAGGTAGTCGTTCCAGGAGTTGAAGGCGTTGCCGGGGCCCCGGGCGCCGCAGCGGCCGCCCGGCACGAACTCCACGGCCGGGGGGCGCTGCTCCGGCTCCATCCCAGCCGCGCTCCCTCATTGGCTGCGGCGTGCGGCGGCGTTCCATCGGAGGCAGGGTCCGGAGCGCAGGTGGAGCCTGGCTCTCGCCGCGGTGTGTTTAGTCCCTGCCTCTGGGGCTGGCCGCAGAGGGTGCGGGTCCAGGGGCAGTTGAGGGGCCAGGGTCGACCTGCAGGCTGCTGCTTCTAAATAGGTCGTGTCTCTTTGTTTTCTGATTCGGTGCAAACACTTTTATAGCCCGTGGAGTCCGGGGCAGATGGGGGGGCTCTAAAAAGTGGGGCGTGGAAAGTGCTGTAGTGTCTCCCTTACTCACCTTTGGGGTTTTTTTTTCCCCTTTACCTTGTATTTTTCTAATTGCTACCTGTTTACATTCTCACTGACATCCCTCCACACTTTTAGCTTCTCTTAGTCCTTGGAGTCTCCGAGCAGCAGGGACTCCCTATGCTGGAAGAAGGGTGATTGCACCCAAAAGCCGGGTAAGAATTTTTCCCCAACTACTCAGCTGGCCGAATAAAAGAGATCACATCTATTTGAAGAACCTTGCCTGTGCGTCATCCCACAACTCTCAACATAGTTTCCCCCAATTAAAACAGAAGTAAAGAGTTGCTTTGCTAATAGGCCAGGGGCCGAGGGCAATATCATTGCTTTTAAAATGGAAGCAGAAATAAGGCTAACATCCTTGGAATGTGCTTTTATTTTCCACTATGCAGAAAAAGGAAAAATGCAACAAAACGGGATCAAAACATGCTGTTTCATTGGCCCTGTCCTCACGAGAGTTAAATGTCTCTCTCTCCCCCCCATTCATAAAACCAAGTCTTGTCTCCATCAGCATCTTGGCAGTGGGTCCAGTGAATGCTTCACTGGAAGTAATTTCCACACCTGAGCTAATTTTCACCTGAGTGAATGGGTTTAGCTAGAGTTAAAGAGGGTCTACAATGCTATTAAATAGTAGCTGGGTATCGGGAGCAGCTAATAGGTAGCAGAATTGGTGAGAAATGACAGCTTGATTGGCGGCACATGAAAACAGTGAAAAAGGAGAGAGGTTGTTCACACCTGTGGAATTAACTCTTTAAAGAACTGAGTAGATTAGAACGAGCCATGAAGTCAATTGAGTCTCTCACTGCTGCCAGACTAGAAATGTTGCTGTCTGGCAGCTGGTTTTAAATTTTAGGTATACCAGGAATCAAAGGAGTGTGCAACTGGACCACTGCACCCCCTGGATCCACCTGTGGTTATGCACCCAAAAAACATCCTCACCTGGACTCTCGCACAGAACCGTGCTATTCCAAGCGGTATTAGGGGCAGTGATTAGACAGCAGATGCCTCCCCAGAGTCGGGCACTTTCTGGATGAGTAGAGCTTTCTGATTTTAGAAAACTGCTGTGTTTGATTCTACCCCAAACCAATTTTACCCCAAAAGGCCACAAGTATGAGAGAGTTTGTGTAGGGTAACTAGGAACTTCACTAGTTGGTGTGGCTCAGATAAGCCGCTCTGGAAGGTGCACAACAGAACCTGAGCATAGCTTGAGTCTGACTTGACTGTTCCTATGACCCACAAATGTTGTCATGTGTACGTGCAATATAAACTAAAAGGAAGAGTGAGGGATAGCTATATATATATAACTGAGAAACTCCACAACTCAGGTTGCCCAGCATAGTTCAGAAGAACTGGGAGCCCATCTGGCCATGAAAAAAAGTCCTATGAAATAGCTTTAAAAATAAAGCTTTTAATTACAGTTGGCCTTTTCCTGGCCGCCTGCTGTTGATAGTTGTCTTGCAGGAGAGAAGCATCGCTTGCAACACTGCTACTTGGTTTCTAACCCTACTTGAGGCTAACTGAGGATTTAGAAAAAAAAAGATCTATTGTGCTGAAAAATATTGTTAGGTATAAATCTGAAACAATGATTTTTTTTAAAGGAGCATGAAGACATATATTTCTCTCTCTCTCTGTCTTTCTGTATATATATATACTCATACCTGTTCTGAAGATTAAGTGCCTAAATACCTTTGAGGATCTGGGCCTATGTGCCTCATCCTGTGGTCTGAGGTAGAAAATCTATTGGGAGAGATTTTCGCAGCTGCAGAAATCATTGGCAACTTCCCTTGTATCAAAAATGGGTCACTAACTGGCTGGAGGGCCACACCCAGAGAGCGGTGGTGGATGGGTCATTTTCGACCTGGAGGGATGTGGACAGTGGGGTCCCCCAGGGCTCGGTCCTTGGACCCACGCTGTTCAACATCTTCATCAGTGACTTGGACGAGGGGGTAAAAAGCACCCTATTCAAATTTGCTGACGACACTAAGACGTGGGGGGATGTGGGCACGCTAGAAGGGAGGAATAGGCTGCAATTGGACCTGGACAGGTTACAGGGGTGGGCGGATGAGAACAGGATGGGTTTCAACACTGACAAGTGCAAGGTGCTGCACCTGGGGAGGAAGAACCAGCAGCAGACCTACAGGCTGGGGAACTCCCTTCTTGTCAGTGCAGAGGCAGAAAAGGATCTTGGAGTCATTATTGATGCCAAAATGAACATGGGCCGACAGTGTGGGGACGCGGTCAGCAAGGCCAACTGCACCTTGTCGTGCATCCACAGATGCATCTCGAGCAGGTCCAAGGAGGTGATCCTCCCCCTCTACACAACACTGGTCAGGCCACAGCTGGAGTACTGCATCCAGTTCTGGGTGCCGCACTTCAGGAGGGATGTAGACAGCATTGAGAGGGTCCAGAGGAGGGCCACCTGCATGCTCAGGGGGCAGCAGGGCAGGCCCTATGAGGAGAGGCTAAGGGACCTGAACCTGTTCAGCCTCCACAAGAGAAGGCTGAGGGGGGATCTAGTGTCCTGTTACAAACTAGTCAGAGGGGACCAGCAGGCCTTGGGGGAATCCCTGTTCCCCCCGAGCACTCCCAGGAGTGACTAGAAATAACGGTCACAAGCTAGCAGAGGGTAGATTCAGACTGGACATCAGGAGGCGCTACTTCACAGTCAGGGCGGCTAGGATCTGGAACCAACTTCCAAGTGAAGTGGTGCTGGCTCCTACCCTGGGGGTCTTTAAGAGGAGGTTAGATGAACACCTTGCTGGGGTTGTTTGACCCCAGTACTTTTTCTTGCCATAGCGGGGGGTCGGACTTGATGATCTGCTCAGGTCCCTTCCGACCCTACCTACTATGAAACTAAGATGCCTTAATGGGAAGAGTGCAGCTCTGGAAGGTGTCATCTAATCACTTGGGTGCTTGCATTTCCTCCTTAACATCTGTCTGCAGGAAGTTGGTGCAGGTATGCAACCTCATTGGTGCCAGAAAAAGTCTCTGACTGATGGGAAGTAACAGTCTGACAGAGATTTCTCTATGTCAGTGCATGCTTTGCCCACTGCAAATGTGAAGTCTTTGGGGGCAGAGACTGTTTTTGGTCCATCACTGGGCTTCTGAGCACTGTCACGGTACAAATAAATACTATTGATCAATAATAATATACCACTTTACAGCACTTTATAATATTATATAATAATACCAAACTTTATAAGGCTTTTGATCAGATCCTGAGAAAGGGCTGTGTTCTGTTGTGGTATGGATGAATTTGGCTTCTAGAAATCAGACTCTCAAATGGGTTGTCAAACAAATAATGTTAATTTTGAATAAGAGGGTTTAGAAATACAACTGCAGTTAAAACATATAACTAATTTCAAGCCCAAGGTCAGAATGGTGGGGCTAAACTGAGCAGGTTCAGCTACCTTTAATGAAATAAATCTTGCCAGTTGTCACCAGGACCTTGCTTGTATCTGACAGACAGTTCCCTGGCAATTAAACAAGGATTCGAATGTGGCTTGTTTGCAACTTAAATTTTGAAATTTAATAAACTGCAATATCAAAATAACTGTTGAGAGCCCGATTTTCATTACACTCTGGCAATTTGGTGGCAGCCTGAAGTGGGCTTTTAAGTGGGTATATTGTTTGCAAAGGGCCTATTCATATGATTGTAGTTGCTGGAGCTATTAACAGCTTTAATAGTTACTCTTTTGGGGTGTTACAGCAGCGGAGCTGTTATCACCACAGGGGAAGGTTCTGCACGCTGAACTCAATGGACATTTTGACCTGCTTTCAATAGTGCAGGATCACGCCTTGTGTCTAGTTCTGTGTTTCAAGCTGCTACTTTTTATGCTAGAGCAAGGGAAGCCTTAAGGGTATACTCAACGAGCCATACAGGTGCTGCCTGCCTCTCTGAGCACAAATTAATGGCCTGATTTTCAGAGGTGCCAAACACCTGCAGCTTCTACTGATGTCAGTGGAAATGGCAAAGCCATCAGCTAAATCAGGTCTTCAGGAGGGCAGCACCTTTGTTAAGTCCTAGCTTTCCCATCTCATTCTCTTTTTACTTAGCTATTGATAGCAGCCGGTCTCAAAAAGCAAATGGTCTTATGCCATTTGTGCTGTAATGCTTGGGTGCAAGTATCAAAGTCAGAAAGGGAAAAGGCTGGTTAGGTCATTCTGTGCCCTCCTACCACGTGTGGGGAGCATTACGAAGAGCAGAGGAATGTGAAAAGTATTTTTGCTATGGAACTGCTATAAAAGATGGAGACCTATTGTTATCACTGCAGTAGCACTGACCTTGTGTCCTCTGGCAGCTCTGACAGCTAATGTGTGTTGACAGTACATGCGCATGAAATATGTTGAGAGAAATATTCCCTACAATTGCTTTAAATTAAGCTTTCATGTTCCATATGTCGAATGAATGTGTTCCTTGCTAGTGCTAGGCTCTCAGACGTACGGTATCTGTACGACCAGTAAAACCCCTTAGATTCTTCCTATTAACTTTGAAGGAGGGATGTGATGGAGGAAGCACTTCTGTTAATAGTGTAACCAGTCAGGCTGTTAGGGGACCTGGAATTGTCTGGTCGGACAATTTCATGCTTGAAACAGAAATAAGTACGAGTCCTGGAAGAAAATTAAGAATGGGACCGTTCCATGCTCTTTTATAACGCAAAACCAATAAAAGTTCTGGCTGTCGG